TGATATAATTCAGCATATCTCGCCAGCGATGATAAAACTCCGTTCAATGCGTCATCGAACCCTATCGTTCTCTCTGCGATACACGCTTCTAATCTCGCCGTTGGTTATTGATCGATTCCGAAGTCATTGGTCACAGATTTCAGCTCTCTCGAGATCCTGAAAGCCATTCGATCATTCGAAACTCGCGTATCATGGTTGAGACGCTCTGCAACGACGCAGAATTCATTCCATAATTCATAAAAAGAAAAATCTCTTCTGATCCTTTCTCATACTATACAACAAGATGTCCGGTATCACGTAACGTCGACTCGTCAATGGAAGAGTCGTTTTCTAAAGCTAATTATGTAATTGATACAAACGTGAAGTTAATGCATACCGAATTTCTTCGCAGAAAGGATCAAACTTTTATTAGGACTATAATCATGATGCATTCAGAATCATATAGAATGAGAGACTGATGTATTCCTACAGCGATTATGTGGAGACAAAAAGAACTGTTCTTTATATTTTTATATCTCATATATGAAGCCTTTTTATATCTCGAATGTAAAGGCTATTTGGTCGTTACTATTAACACGATATTATAAATAACTTGTAAAGAAACTAGTCTGTCGAGTTCTCGTTTTGGCTGTACGAATATTTTTCGCCCACTGTAATATCATCGCAGGGTGCGAATCTGTACTAATGAACAGACGTTCGGCTGCCACGTGTATTCGTCATTCACCTCGATCGTTGCATCCATAAGAGTGCGTCTGCATTAGTGCACGGTAGTGGCTTAGTCGCGTAGCTGTCTAGCTGTAGTAGTTGGGAAATCGCGCGGCGATGCAGGACAGGCAATGCGAGCGAGGCATTCTGAATGTAGTGTTGTGATCGGGCAGAATGAGACTGAGCAGGCAGCAGGCCAGCAAGAGCAGCCGCAACAACAACAGCCGGCGCAACAGCAACAACAGCAACCTCAGCCGCAGTCGATACAAAAATTAGGTACCGAGAGGTCGACAGAGACCGGCAGTAGACTGAGCAATGGCAGTCTGGACCCAGCGGACCAGGATTCAACTGCGCGTGTAATAGATTTGCAGGCCACCCTTGACAAACAGGTATGAAACCGCGTCACTCCGAGCAAAATCGTTCACCGTACGTATGGTTACTTGTTTCTTAAGAAGATTCAGGTAGATATTTGATGAAAATTCTTTTACACAATCTTCTAATCAAAGCGTAGTCCGTCCTACACCTGATATCCGGCAGTATTCTCTTGCTACATTTTACTTATCCGAGTCTGCTGAGAAACATGGAACGAGGGCGTGCTCCATTTCCGTGTTTCGAAATTGCGGATTGTAGAATTTTTTTTATAAAGGTACCATAGCAAATACTGTATTCGAGTTACGAGATAAATTTTCCACCCCTTCCTTTTGCATGCGTTTTTAAGCGACACCGGTTTGGCGAACCGTTTATACATTAAACAGATAGAAACTTTTCTATGCGTTTTTCTATTATGGTGCATGATCGACCGACGACAAGATTGTGCCGTATTTTAAGAGTAATCGAATCTCTGACTCCGATAGAACTCTTTTAATGCACCTTTGAAGCAACTTTTCAAGTTATTTCCCGAGAATCAGTCGACAAGAAATCATGTGAAATTTTGTAATTTCGTTGCACAACTTCTGAATTACTTCTATCCTCGTTGATATGCCATTCTTAATGGCGCAACCCAAGGCATGTGTGGAATGACTATAACGACTATGTTCGACGTTTCGTATACGCATGGTTTAGTGGATTAAGAATGAACTTCCCCCGTGCAAATATTTTTGTATGAACAGCTTGACTTTTTACTATAACAATTATAGACCGACACGATACATTCTTCTGTACCATGTTGACACATATACAATTTACGGTTGAATACAGTGCGTCTACAGTAGACAGTTTGTCGCATATTACCCCACACGACTCGAGGACAAATGACAAAAGTTTCTGTCTGGTTACAGACTGCATAGTAGCTGTACTATCCTTGATATGAATAACACTATTCTCGATACTCTTGTTACAAGCATACAACTATAGTCAGAAACATGCAGTAACATTGAATAATAACGAAATGAAATGTTTATTTTAGAGCTCAGAGTTGAGCACATGGCAACGGCGGGTGGCAGAATTAATTGGACGTGTGGCAGAGTTAGAAGAAACCCTATCGAAGGCGCAGAAAGACCTGCTGAAGACCCAAGAGAACAATGTGAAATTGCAAAGAGATTTGCGTGAAAATGCCGCCCAAAAAGTAGACCAAGAAGAAAGGATAGCGACACTCGAGAAACGGTACCTTAATGCTCAACGAGAGTCCACTAGTTTGCATGATTTCAACGAGAAACTGGAACAGGAGCTGCAGCACAAGAAGGCTCAGTTAAAGGTATTTTACGGTTAAAATAAATCTGTGGAATTTATTACGAGTTCTTCGACTGATTCGATCGCATATTTAGCTCCAAGAAGAAAAGATAGCAGCTATACAGGAGAAACTGGAACTGGCAGAACAGAAATTGGCACAGTATTCCAAGTTGCCAGAAATGGAAGAGCAATTAAAGCAGAGGATGGAGGCTCTGACGCAGGTGAGGAGGCCCAACCAGGTACGCAGGGGAATTAAGACGTTGCATCATTAGTTTGTCCTTTTTTTATTCCTCTGCACTTCTATCGACTCTCCCCAAAAATATATCTTTGTCTAAACTGCTTGCCACTCAAATACTTCTTCTTGGATACAATTTTCTCTCTCCTTCAGTTCACAATACTAAACTCTCAGCGGTGTCTTCTTGTTGCATATATTATATCACTGTTCACGCAGTACCTAATTATGTGCTATGCAAACAACAAACACTACTCAGTCTTTTCTTACAGTTTTAATATCCGTATAAAGATCCGTGGGTACATTCAGAAGGTAATATTGGAAATTGTACGATTCTCGTGTCAAAAATAATCCATCCAATTTCAGTATAACACTAAATATACTAAGCAACACAATCGATGTGATTATTTTCAGAGCTTGTTAGTACTTTATAGTTTCATTTCTCCGATCACGTTTTCTTATAACAATATGTACAAGGCACGTGTTCATTCTACACTAACTAGATTCGTCTCGTCTTCGTTCTGAATCTAAAATAGTTGTTAAGCTCATATATTTGCATTTTAAGGGAAGGATAATTTAGATAAGCCACACGTTTCATTTCATCCAGACAAATGATATTAATTATATGAATTATTTAATAAGCAGGCTCAAGAAAGGCACGGCAGTGCGGAAGACAGGATACAAAGATTAGAAACGCAATTAGAAGAAAAGAATGCAGAAGTGATGCGTGTCAACCAGCGACTTAAAATGAACGAAGAACATAACACGCGGCTTAGTACAACAGTTGATAAACTCTTATCTGGTAATTTATGTTTGTTTCTCTTTACACCTATTAAAATATTCTCGTATTCATACTTTTGTTTTTCCATTCATTCAGAATCGAACGAAAGACTACAAGTGCATCTGAAGGAAAGGATGCACGCGTTGGAAGAGAAGAATGCTCTGACGCAGGAACTTGAAAAGACAAGAAAAATTGCGGAAGATCTCCAGAATGAAAAGACAGAAATAGTGAAGGAGTTAGGAAAAGCTCGGCTTGAAATTGATAACGTGAAGAAGCAGATGCTTCAACAGGAAATCGCATTTAATATTCAACAGACGGATGCTTTGACTAGAAGTTTATCTCCCAATGCAGTTGATCCTGGATCTTTCTGCAGAAGTGCGAGTCATAGTAGCTTTGATACGCATTCTTTACCAAGAAGAACAGCCAAACGACCTGCACTTGACGACGACACGTCAAAAGTATATCTTTTAAATATAAAGGTTTATGATAAAGTTATACGGATAAAATATAATCATGTTTTTTTTTGTAGAATTATGTTGCCCGTACTCTAGCAGAACAAGAATGGGAGAAATTACAACAAGCACATGTGCTTGCTAACGTACAGCAAGCGTTTGATGTCTCCAGCGATGCGGAAGGTGACGGAGACAATGAAAGTCTCTTCAGCTGTGCAGCTGATGTAATTAGTCCGACAGGACACACGGATGCCCAAACATTAGCGCTAATGTTACAAGAACAATTAGATGCAATTAATAATGAGATTAGGTTGATTCAGGTAATAGAACATTTATACTTTTGTGTATGATATTTTTTTCTTTTTTGCGAGTACGTATTATAACCTTAAGTTTAATATTATAGGAGGAGAAACAAAGCACCGAAGCACGCGCAGAAGAATTAGAATCTCGTGTTGGTAGTCTTGAACATATGAATTTATTAGCGAGGGGACGAAGTCTTGAACGAGCGTCGCCACCACTAAGCGGACGATCCACACCAAAATCACATCATAGTCCTAATCGGGATTACTTGCATAAGTATCACACTGTAAGTACACAATAAGTATATTATGTACTTAATTAGAATAATAATTTTATTTTTACTTGATCTATTATTCTAACGTTTGTTATTTAATCAAAGGCACCAGCGTCAATGTCTCCAGCACATCTCCACCAGTACGCTGCCTCTTTAACTAGTCCAGGCCAACTTTCAGAATCTCTTCCTGCAAGCCAGGTCAGTCACTGTTGGATTTTGAGGTATCCAGCATTAATTACTTAAGAAGTCAGAAGGTGATGTATACGTAATTTCGCAGTTACAGTTATCAGGCGAAGAATTGCATTCAGTGAGTGAAAGAGACAGCACTGGTGGTGCAGGAAGTGGTGGCAGCGATGCGGCATCACCATTAACCGCTCGATCACTCAGGTTGGAACGCGTAGTACAGGCACTTGCTCATAGTCAAGAGGAGCTCAAAAGGTACGTTTTCAATTTTTTTAAAAATTAATATCAACAGACCCGGACATTATCTGTAAAGTAAAATATATTATTATAAGGGGTACTTTAGCAACCACATCTCTGACAATGAGGACGTTCTAAAAAGTTTATTCGCCCATTTGTCTACTTTGCTGTGAAATAAGAGTTATATTTCTTGTATATAGAATCTTTTCAATGTGCTATTAAATTTATCGAAGTCCTTACATATGTAGAGGTGAGATTGCCAAAAATAAAGTAATGATGTTGTAAGTGGTATTATGCGTTGTTTATGCTGCCAGGCGCACTGGACAGACTGGATTTCCCAGCAGTGGTTTTCCTGCTCACAGGTTAATTAAAGATTGTAGTACTGCATGTAATCCGCAACGTATGCCGCTGTGCACGACATATTTGAGTGGTCCATGTGGGCATGAAATGAACAACCTTGAGGTCGACATAAGTGATATCGATGGTAACAGGAACCTTTTTGTACCTTTTGCTTGGTGAAAGGGACTTATTGAGACGATCTTCTGTAGACGTTCCTTCTGTTATTCTTTTTGATCTTGTTATTTCGAAAGAAACCGATGAATAGTATGCACGGTATTACATACATGCCTACAGCCCCAATTTTCGAGCACAGTGGTACGGACGAATCATCTGATAGATCTGATAGAAATGAGTCCCCGGGAGAAACTGATAGTAGCTTCTTCCACCCATCGTACATTCAAGCCTGCCCAGTTCACGACAAACATCGCTGTCTCAAACAAACGAGGGAATTTAGGCAGCCAAGAGAATTGCATCGAATAAACACTGCGTCTCGATCTCCTGCCCGAATAAGGTTGTTTTTTACAAAATAGAACGCAAAGATATAGATCGACATAATCGTTTGATACAATGTGCGAGACTAAAACAATTTATAGTTTTAATCAAACGAAAATATTTGTTTGTAGAACATATTAACAGACAGTCCTTCTGTATCTTTGCACCAACGAGTATCTAATACGACAATACCATCTCATAAGCAGTGTTCAGCTATATTTCCAGGTTTTTATGCCTTGCCTGTAATACTGAGTAGGTATTACAAAATTCTTCTTCTCACTATTTGGGGATAGATCACAATTTTAGATGAAGTCATTGATATTGCTTTCTGTTTAGACTCATAGTAACATGAGCTTGTAGCGATATTCATAAAATCACAACATATATTTATATACGTTATTCGATTAGACGTAGATGCAATTCAAAACTTCTGCATGCAAAGAAGTTTATAATCATTGTTATATGTCATCTGGAGCTATATAGCGTTCACGCTTACACGTTATAAACTTACACAAGTGCGTAAAACGATCATACCCATTGCTAATATTTTTAAAGTAATGCAATTCACTTGGCTCAGTAAGTTCCTTAATTATGTGTCACCTCATGTGATCTAAGGTGCACAAAGAAGATCAGCAATGTACCTAGTAAAGAAGTAAAAAAGTAAAGATGTTTCCTTCACATAATACAAAGTATTTTTGAGACACATCTGAAAACAACCTTCATAAAGTACATAGAACATAGCAGAAGAGTAAAGGCGAATAGTGTCCTTGTGTGGGCCAGAATGCATTATTTAGAGTAGAAATAGAAACTAGATTAGCGCTCCATGCAGCAGGCATGGGCAACATAACAACGGCGCACTCAATTCTGGGACTCCCCCTTCCCCATTGTCCTCACGCCACAGTAGCCAGGACAGTTTGCACAAGAACAACTTGTCTGGTGTCGGATTGCCAATTGGACAGCTGTCTAGTTCCCACTTGCACATGCAAGCCACCATGAGTCCAGCTACGGCAGCAGCAGTGGCTGCAGCTCAAAAGAAGAAAAGTATTAAGAGCAGCCTTGGCAGGTTCTTCAGTAAGAAAGAGAAGGTTAGTGAAGAAGTTACTACTTGAATACCTTAAGAGAGAATGCAAGTACCTATAAAAGAGAATTTTTATAAAAGATAAAAGGAAAAGACACGCCAATGCCCGGAGATATGACAGGAATGGGAGGAGCAAGTACACCTGCTGATCCTGATTACGGTGATAGCGTAGCTGTAGCTGGAACTATGGGCAGCAAGAGTGACTTTGATCGTAGGAAAAAGAAAAGGTAATGATGTAAAGCATTACGTAAGTACTCTACGCGTATATATGTAATAAACACAGTTAATATAATTTATTTCAGTCCTAGTATGTTTGGTAGTATGTTAGATTCCTCGCGCCATGAACTTCTGGCAGAAGCAATGAAAGCTGGAACACCCTTCGCTTTATGGAACGGACCAACTGTGGTGGCTTGGCTTGAACTCTGGGTTGGTATGCCTACTTGGTACGTCGCAGCTTGTCGTGCCAACGTCAAAAGCGGTGCAATAATGAGTGCCCTTAGTGATACCGAAATACAACGTGAAATCGGTATAAGGTATGAGATTGATTAACTTCTATATAACAGGATGCAGGATCATATACTTAATCGACTAATCCTTGTTCCAGTTGTCATCTCCACCGATTAAAACTCAGATTAGCTATCCAAGAAATGGTATCACTCACAAGCCCATCAGCGCCAAAAACTTCTCGCACAACCTTAGCATTCGGTGATATGAACCACGAATGGATTGGTAATGTTTGGTTGCCAAGCCTTGGATTGCCTCAGTATCGATCCACTTTCATGGAGTG